AACGGAATACGGCCGACGGAGGAGGGAGGAGAGAGAGAGAGAGAGAGAGGTGCGGCGAGACGAAGCGAGACGGCCAAGTATGTTTCCCGCGAAAAGAAATTAATGCTTGAGATATTAAAAAACGCGTCCGAGAGGAACGCGTCTGTCGTAGTTGGAGCCATCGTCGAGCCACGCCGCCTCTTGCTCGGCTTCTTCCTATCGTTATTCGCGTTTCTTTAAGAATAATCTGCCTATCGTTTCTCTCTCATTCGTGATAACAAGTTGTTCGTTGATCGAGGTCGGTCGATCATCTTGTTAGAAAATTTTTCGTTACATGGTTTTATTGTACGAAGATTTGTGCAAAAGTAGACTCGTGATAAGCTGTAACGATAAGCGAGCGATAAGTCGACGAGGGAATGGACACCTGCAAATATTTTTTTCAATTTTATAATTTAAAAATTTTGCTTCATTCTTTTTTGACAAGAGTTGTTACAAATTAAAACAGCGAAGAAAAAAAAGAGAAAAGAATTATCGAAACTTGGGAGCATTGTTTTTTTTTTTTCCAATTTAAGCGCTAAAAGAAAAACGGGTCGGTCCACTTACCCCCGAATCGTCGTTCTCGTCGTCGGCCAAGGAAATTTTCGACTCCTTCGAGTTCTTCGAGAATTCCATCTTGTCCTCCGATTTGCTCGCGTACGTGCTCCCGTGCCCATTTTTCTGCTCGTGGCTCGAGGCCAGGATCGGGAACGCGATGATAAAGATGACGCAAATCAGTATCGACGTTCGATGACGACCATCCGGCGGACACGCCACGGACACGACCGTCTTCATAGCTCTATCTGAAACAACGAAACGTTTCCAAACTGAGCCACTTTCTCGTTCAATTCAATTCTCGCCCCTCCCCCTTTCCCTTAACGAATTCGTGCACGCGCACGAAAGTGCATAAACGGCTCTATTAAGACCCCCTCCCCCTCCCCCCTCGATCCCGGGAAACTCGTTAATTTCACGGGGCGCATAATAACTTTCCTGTCACAATTTGCATTCCCTCCCCCCTCCCCTCCCCTCCCCCAAACGGGGGAAATTAAAAAAACGTCCGATCGTAAAGCCTCGAGAAGAGGTGAAAAATAATTCACCGGTTCCGCCGTGAATTGAATCATAATCAGTACGAAGGAGGAGGAATAAGCCTCTTCGATCTCTTCGATACATCGTCGTTGAGAAAGCCCTGCTCGATTGCGGGCGGAACGAGGAGGATTCGAACGGGGAGGATCGGGATCGCGTTGTCGTGAATTAATATTGGAACACGGCCGCGGTTAATTTTACAAGGATGATTTCGGGGAGTTGGTTGGACCGTTGGTTGGAAAGTCGAGTTGGTTGGCTTGGTTACTAAATTAAGGGCGGGAGAGGGGGGGGGGAGGAGAGAGGGAAGAGAGGAGAGGGAGGGTACGTGCGAGAAGAGGCCGCAAAACGCGAGACAAGACAAAGGAAAATAGGGCAAGTAATTTCAAACGAGCGAGGCTATTTCACGGCGAGGGGGCGGCGTACAGTTATTCGGACCAGAAGGTTTTCAATGGGAATAATTCCGGCGATGATTCCTTCCTCTCCCCCTCTCTTCTTCCCCCCCTCATCTCGCATCACTGAGTTTCACCGCGAGACTGGATATCGCGGATCTGTCGCTTTCAATGCCGAATCGCTCCCTCTCTCTCTCCTCCCCCCCCCTCTATTCCTCATTCTTCCTCTCTTTTTCGAATATTTTCAACGCGGTATTAATAATACATTTCGTTCGTCGTGTCGTCCATGTTTTCGTATCAATTATTTGCTCGAGAAGAAGATGGAAGATAATCGATGATCGATTTTACACGCTCGCGACTCCCTTGGGGATAATTACACCGAAAGATTCCTCGTTTCTTTATACGCGCGAAAACAGGGGGGGGGGAGAAGGAGGAGGAGGGGGGGAGGGGGTGAGTTTCCTCCTCCCGTGTTCGCGGAGGAAACCGGCAAAGAACGAAGAGTTAAGCGATCATCGCTCTCCTCCTCGGCTGATCGTTCGAATAGTTGCGAGAAGGGGTTCGTTCGAAAGATTTTTTCCCTCTCTCTCTCTCTCTCTTCCCACCCTTCCCCTCTCCACACGTTCCTTTCACCCTCCCTTCCCACCCCCTTTTATTTCTCTCTTTCTGCCGAGACAAAAGTTTCGCATGCCGCGAGCGAAGTAAAAAACGAACGGCCAGAAGGTGGAGAAGGAAGGAAGAAAGGAAGGAAGGAAGGAAGGAAGGAAGGAAGGAAGAGAAGGGCCGGATATTTTTGTCGTTTCGACGAGGGAAAAAAAAAGGTGGGGGAAAGGAGAAAAAAAAGAAAAATCGCGAATAAAAGAGCGAAGGCACGGAGGAAAAAAAAGGGGGGGCTGGAGGAGGAGGAGGAGGAGGAGGAGGAGAGGAAGAAAAAGGAGAAAGGTGGAGGAGGCCGTTGAACGGATAGAGAAGGAGGGATCCTACCGACGATAATGTACCGCGTAAGAGCCATTAGGTTATTAAAAACAGTGCTGGCTAAACACGGAGGGGGGGGGGGAGGGGCTAACGAACCTGTGGTGGCCACCGGGTGAGGGGAATTTCGACAAAGGCGAAAAATTAGCCTTGATAACTCTTGCCGTTCCGTTTGCAAAGGATGGCCGGTTTTTGGAAGGATAGGGAGGGAAGGGAGAGACAGAAGGGGGACAGACAGAATCAGTGTACGGAACGAGGAGTGATCTCTCTCGACCTCCTTGGCCGTGCGTCGCGAGTATGCGGCTAGAATTGATCCACCCTGGAAATGGTAAAATGCTTTCCCTTTCATTTTCGCAAGCCTCGCTCGCTCGTCGCTAGCCATTCCCAGCCGTCTCTTCGCAGCCCCGTTCGCCGAGTTTTACGAGCGGCCGAACCGCCGCCAGGTTAACGAGACGTTGTGCTTTCGAGTCGCGCGACAATTAATCTCGGCTCTCGTGCGTATCGATTCGAGAAGGAGAAGAAAATTTCGTCGAGGGGGTGGCAAGGGAAGGATGTATATATATATATACAAGGATGTATATATATATATATATATATATATATATATATAGTAGGTAGGGAAGGGTAA